GCAATGATTTCTGTAAAAGTCAAAACAGTGGTTACCTTTAATGAGAAAAAAGTGCTTGGGGGGAAAAGGAACAGCTTCTATAGTACTAATAACTTTCTATTTTTTGAACTCTGGAGATGGCAGTGAGGAGTACTGCTGGTGTTTATATTATGCTTTAAACTGTATGTATATTTGTACACATTCTTCTGTATGCGTAAGCTATTTCATAAGTTTTTAACACCCTCCCCCAATAATTGTAGAACTGAGTTTCACTTATTTACTGGCCTATGACCAGCACATATTTCCTAGAACTGCTCACTATTTTCTTCTAGTGTATTTTGAAAGTAATGCAAAATTCAAAAACTTAAATATATACAAAGGAGGGTATAAATGTAAACATATAGTAATCCATACTATGTCACTCTGAAATATATTTATATCCAAAGGTAATCAAAGTAATAAAATGTGTCCCACAAGCCATTACTGTATTTTGCCATGTATAATGTACACCCACATTTTGCTGTGTGTGTTATACATGGGATTATTATACCCATGGTACGTAACCATTATACTCATGTATAATGCACATCCTTATTTTTTCCTAAAATATTTGAGCAAAAATTATGCATCATACATGGCAAAATATGATAAATATTGAGATATTCTCCAATTAGACTCAATAAATTTCAAAATTGATATAATTCTGATGTTATCTAAGCTAAAGTTGACTTACACATGAAAAAAGAATTTCTTTAACTAAAATAAATTAGAATGGTGTGAATTCCATGCAAGAGAAATATTTAATGGACATAAATAAAAGATTCCAATAAATACCAATTTTCATCTATAAATATTTAACTGTAAAAAGACTCTCCAGTAACTAACTCAATTTAGAAGTCTGTATATTTATTCTATAATCTGAACATTTTGTTAATTTAAACATGACTTTCAATATGACTTAATGAACCTTTACTGCATTTTAAAATGTAAGCTATGATATCACACTTTTTAAAAAAAGTAAAAACAAAGAAAAATGAAGTAAAACAATGAAGTTGATTAAATTATTAACTTTTAAACTATTGGGCTTTTAGGTAATTCATCAAGTTGAATAAAATCAATGGGTTTAGGTCTATCTACACCTCTCATTGTTAAGAGTTGTGCTTTGAACCATTTAGATTAAAAAAGAAGACAGACTTTGGTCAGGGAGCTGCTAACAACAGCAGCACATTAATCAACTGGCACTATCAACATTCAACTATTTCATGTTTCCATCTTAAACTTCTTTCAAAAATAAGAATGCAAAAGACTCACAGTTTAAGTTAGCTGAGATATTGTGCTTTAAAAAAAAATCCTATCGAATAATGTATTAAAGTGATATATGTTTTTGAGAAGAAAATAAAAATGTAACATCATTAATTTAGTGACAGCTCAAATTAAAAGGAAAAACAGTGAAGCAAATATATTTGTAAGATGAAAGACTGCTTATAAAAGTTCTTATAGTAAATTTGATTTTATTTGCACATAAAACATTTATAATTTTATTCACAAATGATCTCTTTTGTGTTCTATTCAGTAACAACATGATATTGTCCTGAACTTTGGAGTCATAAGAAAATGACTTTAATGAAACAAACAAAAGGAGGTCAGTAGTTTTTCATCATTACTAAAATATTGTGGTGGCAGACATAACACTGTAGCCTTTCTTCAATGCAAAAGCACACGGCAGCAATGAACTACAGCAATAGCAGCACGCCTGGCAGCTGTGAGTTCCCAGGCCAGACAATGCAGCTCCTGCCTGGGCGAGCACTGTAACTGACCTGCCGGCCTGGCCTTGCTCACGAGACTGAATAGATAGACGGACTTGACATTTAATTCTGCCACGCCATCTAAAACCCTCAAAGACAGGAAGAAAGATAAGAGCTTTCAGATATACTGCCCAAGTTTTCAAGATACTGTGAATCCCAATGTACCATTATGACAAAACAATAATTTAATTTGTCACAAAGAATGCTATCAAGTAATAGAAGTGAAATAGAAAAAACTAGGGATAGATTTTATTGTTTTACTTGTAATAACAACAGAAAAAAAATGTAAAGAGATAATGTTTAACTCAAGTTGTCAATGACATGTGACCACCATGTGGTAAACATTTCCCTGTAAATCACAGGGGAAAAGTTATTCTACTAACTGATAGTCTGAATTAACCTTAATGTAACTCTTATATCATCTATAGGCTCAAAAGCATCAAAATACATTTACTATTCATAATGTAAAGACATAGCATTTCTCTCCACCTTGCTACCTTTTATGGGTGTCCTCAATGAGATTATCAATATAGTAGAGCTATTAAATTAGACTTAATACTGTTTCAAATAGTGAAATAATTATGATTAAATTTTAAAATTGAAAAAGTAATAGTATTTATATTGGTTACTGAAGACCAAGCATCAAAACTAAAATTTAATCAGTAGTATTGCATAGGATTTAGAAATATCATTTGGTAATCGGAAAGACTTAAGTTTGAGTCTCCATCCTTGGTATGTTTTTATTGCTAAGAAAATGTGATGAAATAGTAGCTCATAGGGAACTGTGCTGGTGTCCCTAAAACTTAACTAATTATAAGTCACTTAGCTGATTGTTTTTAAAAACAAAGTACAGGTAAAACATAAGCAATATTATCCCATCAATTTAACAGCTTATTCAAATTATAACCTATTCAAAATCTCCAAGAAATTAGTTAGTATAACTTATTTAAGAGATTTTTTTTTACCAATTCAAATTCTTGACAAAAATTATACATGTGATAAACATGTTCCTGTAAATCATAGGGGAAAAGTTATTCTACCAACTAATAGTCTGAATTAATCTTAATGTAATTCTTATATTATCTATAGGCTCAAAACATCAAAGTACATTTACTATTCATAATGTAAAGACACAGTATTTCTGTGTCTTTAAGCACAGTTAAGCAGACACACAGTCAATAAACATTTACTGAGCACCTACTATGTGCAAGGCACACGGGATACAGTACCATTCCTTGAGGAGATCACAATCTAAGCTGAGAAAGACATAGATTTAAATAGAAGGTGGTGGGCTCCAAAATCAAAATACATAAAAGTAGAGAGATGGTAGAAAGGGAGTAACACCTTCAAAAGTTGACTTTAAGTCACTAAGTAGCCAATTAAGAATGGTACTGTTACTATGCATTCAACCCTTTATATTGTGAATTCCACACCTATGGATTCAAACGACTGTGAGAAAATATTTGGTGGGGGGGGGGCAGGAAACATGTTATATTGTTGCTGACAAATAACATCAGTGTAATAGCAGTGGTAGTTAGGCCTACTGCTGTTGCCTCTGCATTTGACATGTACAGACCTTTTTCCCTGTTGTTACTCCCTAAATACAGTACAACAACTATATGCATAGCACTTACATTTTATTAGGTATTATAAGTAACCTTTATAGATGATTTAGAGTATGTGGAAGAATGTGCATAGATTACATGCAAATACTTTCATTTAAGGGACTTGAGCACCTAAAGATTCCAGCATCCTTGGGGGTTCTGAAACCTATTCTCTGCAGATACAAAGGGATGACTATGCACTGTTTGGTATCAGGGAGCAACTAATTTTTAAGACAATTTCAAAGAAATTAACTCTTCACTGAAAACTGGTCAGTAGGACTAAAGAAACACTATAAGGCTACAATTCAAAGAAAGTAGGATAAAAATAGAGTCCACCCTGCCTAGTAACATAGTATTACCTACCACAAGCATACAAACATTGATTTTCACATGGTTGGTTTACTACATATTAATACAAAGATTAAAAATGTATTCACCTTGAAGGGAAATAGGATTTTACACATTATGACAATTATGATTGACAGGGTCTGCCCACAGTGCTGTTAAGAATGATGCTGAGGCTGAATCCAGACTCAGCAGAACTGTTATGAATAATTAGCAATGTCTGCTATAAGAAAGGGAAGAAATGAAGGGTATGGTCTGTGTATTTGACATCTGTAATATCTTGAATTTTCTCTGAAAAAAACTGTATCCTATTTGTACAGGACCCCACAAAAAAGCTGAATTTAACTAGTTTAATATTAAAGTCAACAAACAATCAATTAAGGGACTGGATTACAATAAACACTGTTTAAGGAATCCATCCCGTCCATAAATCATTCCTTCTTTTCTCAGAAACATTCCCTGATCCAGGACGCAGGCACCATAGTCTCCCAGCCAGAGAGTGCCTGAGCCCTGACTGCATCCTAATCAACATGGGATAATGAAGTTTCTCTTCCTTGGGAGTTTAGAATTGGGATTCAGGAATAGCCAGGTTCGTTTTCATATATGGAACTGCAACATGCAAACTATGGTGGTCATGTGCTACCACTCAACCAGAGAAACAGAAAAGCTACTCAGTCTGCAGAAAGATGGATAAAGAAAACCTACAGAGCCAGAAAAACAAAGCAAACAAGAATACTTTCTGGATTCCTGAGAACCTTCCTTTCCCAGCTAAATCCCCCTTCAACTGGATCCCTTTTCTTTATTTAAGCTAGTTCAAATTGATTTGTTATTTAAAGCCAAGGGCATTAACTAATAAAGGATAATAGGGGTTGTGAGAAAGTGAAAGAAAATAATCTTATAGAAGAGTCAAAAAAAAAAAGGAGAGGGAAGAATAAACAGAATAATTAGAAAAAATCAAGTGACTTCTCCACCACACATTAAAATTACCATAGAAATTAATTCCTTCAGCTCTGTACCCTCTCTTTAAAGGATATATGTGATAAACATAAAAAAACCTGACCTTTGCCCTGGCCAGTGTGGCTCTGTTGGTTGGGCATCGTCCCAGTTCAATTCCTGCTCAGGGCACATGACTAGGTTTCAGGTTCACTCGCCAGTCTGGGTGCATATGAGAGGCAACCAATCAATGTTTCTCTCCCTCTCTTTCTCACTCCCTTCCCCTCTCTCTAAAAATAAATAAAAATCTTAAAAAAAAAAAAAGGAACCTGACCTTTGTTTCTTCTGTCCTCACTGCATCCAGCAGATAATGCAGAAGCTCCTGACTGTCCTGTTGTTGAAAACTTTTAAATCGAGGGGCTCTATGATTTAAAAACAAAATAGGAAAGGGAAAAAAAGGAACAATCATTTCATCCACAATATATTACTAATATTTAAAATCACTTTGAAATAACATGTAGTCAAAGATTAAATTTACTTCTTTCTCTACTAAGCTGAAAGACAAAATGTGATTACTGTTTCAATGAGGATGAGATCTTAGGTGTATTGAGAATAATATGACTATCATTTATCAGGCAACTACTACATGCCAACCACATACATTAAGCTTTACATATGTAAAAGTAACACAATCCTCAAACAGTGTGGAATTCACTATTTTATCCAGTTTATAAATGAGTGCTCAGGGGGATTATTTAAATAATTTGCAAGGTGACAGAACAAGCAAAAAATGGTATTCAAACCTGAGCTACTGTTATATTCTTACCTCAAAATAACCAAAAGAAAAACAAATGATGTTTATATTAAAAACTATAAACTGGTATTTCTTTGAATCTATTTATTTTGAAGATTTGACAGGTTTTCTGTGTATTAACTTAAAAAATCAAGTGCTATTCATAGAGACATCAACACAACAAATGTTTAGTTGATTTCAGTAACTTTAAAAAGTAGTATTTCTAGCAATAAGATCCAAGGCTAAATGAACATTTTTGCCTAACTGCAAACAAGTTCTAAATTTAGAAAGTCTGCTCTAAGATGAAGAAAGAATTTTAACATAACACAAAATACTAAGAATATTTTATGTAGTAGAAGACAGATTTAGAATGATCTCATTATAGTATGGTATAGCATATAACATACCTCATTTGATATACATAACAGTGCTATTAAGGAATTCATAATTAACACAAACTTCATTTTACACTTGAGAAAACTAAAAACAAGCTGAGTGCCACTGACATAAATCCAGGCCTTCTGATTCTTGAGTTCAGTACTTTAGCATTATTCCTCATTATCTCAGGATAAACAGTCCTCCCAGTAATGTACTAATGTGAGGCCCTGGTGCTAAAACACTTTCTAAACTCACAGTGACTCCAGCCTGTAACAGGAACCATCATTTCAGTTAGCACTGCTCAGTCTTGCTAAGCAGCAGCAAATAGCAGCATGATGTTGAGAACACTTTCATTTACTCCCCAGAGGGGCTTCCCTTTCTGCATGTGGTGGGGTGTCCACCTCCTAGATCAGAGGCAGGGACAGAAACCAAGATGGATACAAATTCCAACCCTATCTGGGCCTCCACAGCTGGAATCCACTCAAGGCAGAAATTGCACAACACTACATTTATGCTGTAGGTATTAGAAAAGGTCAGTGGAGTGGAAGAAGGCTGGAGGGGGAAGCAGGGAAATCCCTCAGAGCTCCTCACCAGTCAGGGTACAAGTAGGAGGAGCCAGTTATGGCTTTCAAAGCAGTCACACAGGAAGGAAATCAGTCCTGAACAGAGCAGGAGCTGTCCCCACCATGACCCTGCCTATAGCTCCATCTCAACCAGGCACAAAGCACTTATCACTTGCTAAACCACTGAAGAACACTTAATAAGCCTGGATTCTTCTCTTTCTTCCTTTATCTAGGATGGGGGGGGGGGGGAATCATATGATGACTTATGGAATCTCTAATGAAGATTCTGGGTTACCAATACCAAAAGGGATCTTCAAGCTTAAAGGATTAAAAAAAAAATCACCAAATATATGAAAAGATTCAACCCATTCAAAATAAGAGAAACTCTACACAGTCACAGGAAATGTACCTTAGTAAAAGTGTTCCTGTGGGAAAGAGGAGGGAACTTCTAAAACCTTCAAATTGTTAGAGAAAAATGTATACACACTCACAAAACAGGAATAGACTATCAAGAAAAAGAAGACATATCAGTCCATTCATAATCCCAAAACTCTCTCAACTCAAACATAACAAATACACAAAGATAAAACAAAAAAGAGCTTAAGTGAGATTCAGTGAAAAAAAGAAAAAGACCCACAAAGCAAAAATAGAACTTAAAAAGGAAGAAAAAAAAACAGAACAGTCTTTATGGGCTCTGGGCCTGGAAAGGCTCAGAGATGAAGGGTGAAGAAAACTCTAAAGTACTCACACTGCAGACGGGCCAGACCCAGGCTCACTGTTTAAGGATGGTTGATCTTTCCAAGAGCCTGAAAGGAAGCCTTTGGGCAAAGGTTGCCTGAGGCCACAACAGAACATAGTCTAGGGACCTGTAGCTGACTCAGGCCTTCCACAGACTCTTCTCACATCCCTAAAACCAAGGTAGCAGCCAGGTAACTGTGAACCATTAAGAGACCTGGATCTCCAAGGCCAGATTGTGGGGCAGGTGTGAGGCTATCTTAACATTTTAAATTTTTAGGCAGTGAGGATGGAGGCATGAGGCTGAAGAGGTGATGGGAGTGGTGGGAAAACAAGAAGGAAAGGAAGTGGGGGATAGCAGGCAGAGCTAAGGTGGTTGAGGACTACAAACAAAAAAAATCTATTCTGAAGGAGCCTACAATGCAAAATTATCAAACACATAAAAAAATATAATGTTAAAAAGTCAACAGCTGAAATAAATTTACTTCATTCGAAATAAATTTTATAGAACTGCTCTAAAGACGTTATAATAAATACGTTGAGAATGTCCAAAAATGTACAGGTATAACTGCCAATAAAAGCCTACATATTAAGAAAAGTTGGAAAAATGGACTAAGAACATGTACAATAGATATTAATAAGATAGCCAGTTAAAAATACTAGAAATAAGACAATAAAACCACAAGTAAGAGTACAAAAGATGGGATAAATGTTAAACATTTGAAGGGTGAATTAGTAAATTAGAAGATAATACTTAAGAACATACCCAAATACTACAGTATACTGTATTTTCATTTGATCTAGAGAATTTGGTTGTACTCTTTAAGGTACCTGACACACCACAGAATATTCTTAAGAGAAATCTAGCATAGTATGTGCAAGATCTGTATGCTGAAAACCACAAAACTTTGATGAGAAAAATCGAAGACCCAAATAACTGAAAAGATGTGTCATAATCATGCACTGGATGACTCAACATTAAGATGTCACTTCTCTCCAAACTGAGCTGTACATTTAATGCAACTCCAAATGAGAAACTAATTCTAAAATCCATATAAAAGAGCAAAGGACGTAAAATAGTTTAAAAAAAAAAAAAACGAGAGAAGCTTGAGGAATCACACTACCAATTCCAAGACTTAATATGAAGCTAGAGCAATCAAGACATTGCAGTACTGGGGTAAGGACAAATACATGTAACAGAATAGAGTTCAAAACTAGACCTGACATATCTGACTTAAATCTTCACTGGACTTTTTAAAAAGTCACTTTTCTTAATATGCAACTCTTATTAAAATAAACATAATGAAGTGTTGGGGACCACTCTGTGTGGTTTCCGAGACTGTAGACCCACAAAAGCAAGCCCTGAAAGGGGCTAGAAAGTCTCCCTGGAAAACCAAGTGAAAACGCAGGTGGCAGACATGACTCGACTCTAACACCAGGGTTCCCATGGGAATCATATCTAAAATATACAGTGTATCCTTTGATGTTTGCTGCTTTGTTTTGTATGGTGCTGGTGATATAAACGGGATGTTTAAGTTCAAGGCATAAGGAGTAAACTCTGATGTCAGGATGACTAACAGATCCTGACATACGACAGATCTGTGTTCCTTCAATTGTTATCTATAGATAATACCTGGTTTTGTATGACAGTAGCCTTTTTGACATCAATTGATGAGCTATGCATGTATGTTGTATACACTACACATACCATTCCCAATAAAAGCCGTTTGGGAGAAGGGTTCAGGGCATTCCCCACTAGAGGGAATTGCCACCCCTTTTCCCACCAGAACAGTAAGATTGTGTCCTGGACGACTTCTTCACCATCTACCGTGGATGGGAAGATTCTGCAGGCCAGAGTTCCTCCCACAACAAAGCAAAAGAAAATGCAATTTTTTAATGTTTTCAAATAATGTTTCACCCAGTAATTCTATTTGTCCTACAAATGAACTCTCACAAGTACAACAAGATGTATATACACACATTCACACATACAGGATTGAACAACAGTAGGTTTATAGTTGTTCATATGGAATACAACAGTTAATAAATAATACAAGAATAAACTGTTTTGCATACTCACAACTGTAAACCTACTTTTTCCCACCCTCTATACACATATGTAAAATCAAGTAAGTTACATTCACATGTGCTATATGGAAAGGTGTACAAGATATACTAAGCAAAACAAACAAGTTGCAGACAATTTTTATATGCTTGTATATACAAAATTACTTTTAAAAAGAATAAAAACACAATATTAGTTTGAGTTATCTATGAGCACCTAGTTAATAATTTTTTAAAATTTATAAATCCTTATAAAACCAGGAAAAAAGATATAAAACAAAGTTATTTTGCATAGAGTCTAAAAACAAATTTCTAAAATACCTAATATCCTAAGAAATTTTTAACTCTTTGAGGTACCCATGTCTCTGAAAGTTTTCAGGGATTTTTTGTTGTTGTTGTTGTTCCTCAGGCTTTGAGAAAACAGCATTTGCCAAGCAAATGAGACATGCAATATACACACTACATTTTTTACTATATTTTATCATGGCACATTATGCTCAGTGAAATAAGCCAGTCACAGAAAGACAAATACTGCATGATTCCACTTATATGAGGAATCTGAAATAGCCAAATTCATGGAATCAAAGAGTAGAACGGTGGTTGTGAGGGGCTGGAGAGAGGTGAAAATGAGGAGTTGCTAATCAGTGGGCATAAAGTTTCAGTCAAGCACTATGAATAAGCTCTAGCCCTGGCTGGGTACTCAGTTGGTTAGAGTGTTATCTTGATACACCAAGATATGGGTTTGATCCCCAGTCAGGGCACATACAAGAATCAACTGATGAATGCCTAGACGAGTAGAACAACAAATTGATGTTTCTCTATCTCTATCTCTCAATCTCTTCCTCTCTTTCTGTAAAAGATCAATCAATAAATTTTGTCTTAAAAAGGTGAATAAGCTCCAGAGATCTGCTGTACGACAGTGTATCTACAGTCAACAATAATGTATTACACATTTAAAAATTGTTTAAGAGGTAGAGTTCATGTTGTATTCTTTCCACAATAGATCAAAAAAGAAGAAATTAATGTTGTTGCAATACTATAAGATAAAACATAATAAAACAATACAATGCCATGCCACAGATAACAAGTTTAATTAAAATGAAATATTAAAGGTTGTAGGTATGCAAAAATGCCAGTTTATATTTAAAGCATTTTGTTTCTACATATTTTAGTTCATTGTGGACTGAGGAGTTTATGAACTCCATGACAAGGTCCATTTTTAATACATTATGGGATGAGTACCTGGACTGTAGCAAGTACTGACAACAATGTAAACCCTCAATTTTCTAGATGAAGGAATAAACAAATACATTAAAGCTAAGTGAGGACCTTTATGGCATGTGTTTATTTTCAGGCACTCAAAGATTTTGTTTTTAACATACTGTAATATCTTGAGAAATTCTGTTAAACTCTATCTGCCTTGAAGCTCAACTTTTAAAAGAAAGAGACTAGGTTAGATGATGCTTTTAGATTTTACAGTTCTATAATTTTCTTACTTTGGTGTAGCACACCACGGGCTCCAGCATCAGGACAGACCTCTATTTGTGCCCTGGCTTTGTCACTATGAAATGAGGTAAGCCACTTGACTTCTATGAGTCTCAGTTTCCTTACAGAGAAAATTGGGGTAAATAATCACCTCTTTAGAGTATTACAAGATATAATTTTCATAAAGCACAGAGCTGCAACTAAATAATGTTAACTCTTTCTCTTGGTAGTCTAGGCAAAATAGCAATGTTATAGAGTGAAAGGACTCATTAAGTATAAATGCAACAGTATTTGTAACTCAAGATTATTTATGTGAAGCATGTAGGTGCACCCACTTCTGACACAGCTGGCTGAAAAGAGCTTTAGGAGAGAGCGGTCCTTTTTCAGTTTCCTTCATGCTGTGAAGAAACAGGATCAAGGCTGAGGTCAGCGGGCCAGGGCTCGAAAGTTCTACCGTTAATGGGTCCTTTGAAAACATGATCAATGCTAGGTCAGAAATATGTTGTTTATTATTTATAATCAAACAGTTATATTTTATTTAAATAATGATAACTCAATTGCTTCAACTGTATTAAGAAACTTCATTCTCTTGTACATAAAATATATCAAAATTAAAAAATGGAATTACTTGAAAAACACAGGTATAATCATATCATCTGCCCTTTACTTAATAAAACTATCAGCTTAAGAATAAAATCATCAATCTTTAGTTGCTTGTAACTGTCCCTTAATGTACTCTCCTAAAAGTAAAATTATGCATCTACTTGATATTTGTACCCTTTTACAAATAATCATAAATTATATTTATTAGCAAAACTCCATACCTTTCCTTTCCCCAAATATTCTACTATTAAGTAAGGACTGGGAAATTATGTCACCAAATCTGTACACCATCTCCCTCTTTTAAAGAAAAAAGACAAAAGCAGCTTAAACTGTGTGAAGAATCAATGCACTTTATTTTAGAATTTTTTTCCCACCAAGTTTTGTTTTCTAAAATATTAATTTCACCAGCAACCTCCCTCTCTTTATAGACAATGAACAAAAAGCAGATTCTAAATGTAATCCTCAAACCTTAGAGTATGTTACCCTCTAGGAAAACTATCAAATATACTGTCTCATTCATGTATTCATGAAACACATGTTACATATATATTTCATACTAACTAACCTTAAAAATCCACCATCTGGCTAAAACCATGGAAAGTTATAATTTTCCATAACTTTTGAATATCAGAAGCACTTTCTTCCATGTTAAGTATATTGAAGGTTACCTCAAGAGTCAAATGCAAAATCTAAGGCAGTTTCAAAGCCCAAGCACTAAGGTAAACTATCCTCCACTCCCAAATAAAGCATTTTTAGACAAAGTAAAAAATTTTTTCAGAATAAGTCAGTAAATAACCTTGGTTATGAAAGCACATTTTAACTTTGAATACAAAACTAAGTTTGCTGATGAGAATACAATGATGCAACAATAAATCTCACAAACATGTTGACAGGAAGAAGCTAAATGCAAAACAGTATATATTATATTATTTCATTTACATATAATATTTAAACAGGCAGAACTAATCTGTCCTGTTAGCAACCAGGTCAGGGGTTATCCCTGTTAGGTCAGGAGGTAGTGAATGGAAGGTAACCTGAAGGGGACTTCCAGCTGCTGGAAATGTTCTGTTTCTTGAGCAAAGTGTTGGTTAGTTTTAGTTCAGTGTGCTCACTTTATGAAAATCCATCATCTATACAAATATGGTATATACTTCTCTGTATAAATACTTTAATAAAAAGTTTGTTAACAGTAAGAACACTGCTAAGATGCATACAAATATTAACAAGTTGAACCCAACAACATATAAGAATAATGATACATCATAACTAAGTGGGGTTTGTCCTAGGACTGAATACCAGATAGGTTTGAGAATCAATCAATGTAATTTGCCACATTAACACAAGGAAGGAAAACCATATGATAACCTCAGCAGATGCAGAAAATGTATCTGACAAATTCATCATCCATTCATGACAAAACTCTCAGAAAACTAGGAATGAAAGGGAATATTCTCAACCTTATGAAGAACATGTATGAAAAACCTACAGTTAACTTCATTCTTAATTATAGGAAAAACTGAATGTTTCCACCCTAGTTTGGGGATTAAGGCAAGGATGTCTGCTCTCATAACTTCTATTCAACATATTACTGCTGATTCAAGTCAGCATGATATGGTAAAAAAAAGAAACAAAGGTACACAGATTACAAAGGACAAAGTAAAATTGGTTATTGAGAGAATAGTGATCATACTCTCTCTACATTGATAGTCCTGCAACTCAGGTCAACTCTGTACTAAAAAAAAAACTAAGTCCTAAGATTGATCAGCTCTAATATGTAATTGCCATATAGTAATCTTGAGACACTGATCCACATGTGAATAGTCAAACTTAACATTCAATTTCATTTCATGGGAAACCTTTTCAAACAAGTAAGCATTAACCTCCACTCGGTAAAATAGTCTTCACTATCTCACATCACTTTAGAAAATGGCATTGGGATCTACCATGAAAAATATAAGGGACTGAACAGGCAATGACTTTATGGTCTGCTTTTTTGACAACAACAAAAAAAATACAATATTGTCTTTCAAAACTGCCTCCTTAGAAGAAAAATCTGAGATTACTACATTGGGTTAAGAATTTTTAGAATTCTTCTTTGCTCAGTGTTTTTGAGAGACAGATCATGAACTAAACAGAAACTCTTTTTTCCTCTAAAACACAAATCAATTTCTAACTAAAATCAGTATTACTAGTCCCAATGCCCTCCAGGAAAAGACCACCAGGAATATGCCTGCAGTTGAACGAGGTGGGATGGCACTAAGGGAGAACACAGAGAACCATGGGGTGTTTCAATAACAGGATGTTTGAAAGAACCATTATAGGGCTTGGGCTCTAGTTGGGTGATTCAGTGAGGAGTGGAAACTTGAATACTGTCAGAAAGTGAGGGTAATTCTATAATTAGGTATCTCAATAAACCTTATCTGTGGGTGGGGGTGGAAGAATGAGGATAAAGCTACAACTAGTAAACAGCCCTCAATCATTTAGGCCAAGAGACAGGGCACTAGGGATTTTCTAAGTGGTAGGGTAACCTGCTTTTTGTGTGTATTTAGATAAAATCATGAAAGTGGGCTTGCTTTGTCTCATTTTGTCAGACTTAGAGTAACCTAGCTGGGGTGGTATTCCAAGAGATTGTTTGAATAACGTGGCCTAACTGTGGGCACTGAATGTCAGAGGCTGCCTCTTTTTTTCTCCTCATTAGCTTAAAAATCTATTATTAGATTAGGCTTCAAAAAACCTTTAGATGTTCACTATTAAAACCAGATCTATCTTTAAAGAACAAAAATGCTGTATTTAAGCAAATGCCACCAGTAACTACAAAATAGAAGTCCTAGTTATGATCAAAAAAGTCAAACTCTTCTTGTTATTTCTAGTCCGTTTGTTTGAAAGCTATCACAATATTGTTGTGTTGTTTGACCCATATGTTTGAAACGTATCTTAAAGTTATGATTCTGGAAGTTTTAAATCTGATTGTTAATTTTCACGAAATACTACTGAATTTTTTTTTTCAAACCCTCTGACCACCATCTCAGTTGAGAGTTCTGAGAAACAGGAAAGAGATTTCAGCAACATCAGCGGCCCTTCTTACCAGTTGAGAGTCTGATGAAGGAAAAATCTTGAGCTTTGTACCATTTTCTTTTATCTCATTCATCAGTTCAGTAAGAATATAAGACTGTGCCAAGTTCTAAAAGAAAACAAAAGTAAAGTCTGCTGGTTCAGGTATACTATGTCTCTGATTTTATGGAATAAATTACTCTCCCAAAGTTTCAAACTGGGTCTAGCATAGCATAATATTTTTAAGTTAAAAAACGTAATTGAATATATTTTACACTTAATAAATGTCACTATTACTGACAGAGCCATGACAAAGTACAGAGAAGACATTTAAGACGCACTGTAGAAAAAGGTTTATATGTGTGTATGACAATGGCTAAAAAGAGCCTAAAACAAACAAAAAGAAAACAAATCTCTAGGTGAACATGTAGCAATAGAAATTTCTAGATGAACATTTAGCAGTCATTTGACAGTCTACAGGAATGCAAACAAATATAAATTAAGATTATCTTTTACATTTTACAAAGCTTTCTGATGGCTCTTACCTGCATAACTGCATTAAAAAAACAGGTATTTCCTAAATTCGTAATTCCCTTTACAGATGTTATACAGCTGCCTTTTCTTCCCTTCTTTTTTTCACCTGTTTCACATTTTTCTTCACAAAGTTTTATAATTTTGGGAAAGGTACCTAAGTTAGAAAAAAACATAACTGACATGAAATGTAAAATTAAATATATATCATTTGACATAACTTAAATACATTATTTGAAATTAAATAAGATGTTTCTCCTGAATCAGTATTCCTAAAGGGCTGGGACACAAACACAAATAAACATCTTGAGTAAAGCAATTAATTTTAATTCATTTTAATATACGCATCTACACCTCATACCACACTGCAGAATAAACTCCAGATGAATTAAAAAATCAAATATAAAAGAGTGAATTAAAAACAAAAGCACAAAAGATCCAAATCACAGTTTCTAAATACCATTCCCTACTAAAAGGAATGTAGACTTCTTGAAAAAGAGGCTGATTCTTAACATGGGGCAGCCAAGAGGCAAAATGAGCCTATAACATTATTATTGTGCCTGAAAATAAGGTAGTGCTCACAAAAAAAGTGATGAGTATATCAAAATACACAGGAGCCATTCTTAACAGGTTCCCACTGTTCCAAAGTGGGGCAATTTGAATATCAAAATAAAGAAGGGCACTAAATAGATTACCATTCACTGAACAAAATGAAAGTGACATTGAATTGATAATTAAATAAAAGCAAATCACCATACAGTGACAGTTTTTTAATATTATTCTTGCAACTTTTCTGCATTTGAAATTTTCAAATAAAAAGTTAAAAAAAGTAATAAAATTACAATATAAAAGGTAAAATACCTAAGCATATAGTACATAAGTGCATGTTTTGGGTTTACTAACTTGTATAATTAATGCAAATTTGTAAATTATAGTATCGTATTTAACATCAGTCTGAAAATGAAGACCAATTCCTAACATTTATGAACTAACATGATTAATGATATCTATTTTAACATCAGATTACTTTCTGAATCATTATTATTTGAAGTTGGACAGGAAATTCCCAAGTTCTCAAATTTTTTGGTTTTTAACTGAATGTTCTTTTAAATTCAATCCCTTTCAACCTCAGATTGTGTAGTCCTTTACAATTACATTAAATAATTTATTCATCTAATACTGACACGCTGCCTTGCACTGCTAATTAACTTCTAAATGTTTGGCAGTTTGCCCCTCCAGTCAGATTAATGGAGATTAGGGAATGTCCCTGACTGTCTTTTTCTTCAACAACGGTATGATATTGGGAGTACATACATTATAAAAATTCAATGTCAAGGAAAACCTACAAGATTAAACAGAAAATATGGTAGACTTATAGCCCTCCATGTCTCCGATGACCTCTTCAGAAGAAATAAGGTAAGACAGCCCCTCCCCACCCCGCCCTTCTGTACAACAGTATTATGGGAGATGACCAGGGGCGGAGGTAGCTCTAGTCTCAGGACAGGAGCAAGAAACAAACACCATAAAGAAAGACTTGGGTACTGGCAGACTGATGTCAGGCACATGCTATTGGTTCAAACAAAGCGTGACTTGGCATCTTTGACTTTTGCCCCTCCCCACAAAGGCATCTAGAGGTAGGGCTCCAGTATCAGTTAAGTGAGACTATTAACACATTTGCTCATAGACTTTCCATAAGGATTAAACAAGATGCTATTTGCAATGGTTAGCACTACTTGTGTGAAAAACAGTCCAGAGAGCCTACCAGGAATCATTATTTGTGCCAAAATCAGTATCTTCATGGGCTAGCCGGACTAGCCTGGGCTAGTCCGTTGCTTATCTGCTCCTTTTTTTCTGTTTAATCATTTTCTGTACTGAGGGGTTTTTTTTCTCAAGTTTATTTCTTATTTCTAATTGGATTTTCTGAATTGCTAATGTGAGTTTTTCCTTTTATATTGACTGGTTTTCAAAATTTCTTGGCTTTTCTTTTTAACATGTGAAACTATCTTATCTCATTGAGAAAAATGAGTTGGTGGTTTCTAAAATGTTTCTATCATTAAAGCAAACTGATTGCATGGAAAAGATTTTTCTTTCAAGTCTTAACTTTTTTCTTAGCCTATGATACAATATTTTTTCATAAACCCTATTACCTGCTTTTCCCCTTTATTCCTGGTTGCTTATTCTTTAAGGAAAGAATAAGCAAACAGGTTATTGAATGTCTGTTGTCCACATATTGAAGAGTTGTTCTTAACTCCCAACTCTAGAATTCCAAGTTAACACAGTGAAGAACAAGAAAGATCTCTTCTCCTGTCCTCCAGGTATTACAATAAGTGATAAGAACTAAACTCCATACAACAGTTTTGGAGCAAAAACTAGTACAATTAATGGAGAAGGTCACCAAAGTGCAGAGACCAGGCATGCAGAAAAGAGAGAGCAATAAAAAGCCAGACAGTATTCAAATTTGCAAGTGAATGTACGAGCACATGACAAAAAAACCGTCAGTGTTTAAGAAGCACTACACAAACAAGAAGCAGCCCCATAGTGATCCTGGCTGGGGTTGCAAATGGGAGCTGTCCACCTCTTTATTATTATATCTGAGATTGCAACTGAAGGCTAGAATTGGCAAGTTTCACTATAGCCATTGCCACTAGATGGTTTTCATAGTGATTTGTAAGAGATTTATGATGAAACAGTCATTAAATCCACTCATTATTCTACCTCTCAGCACAGGTTCTTACTCTGATTTCACATTTACAAAACTCAGTCTCCATCAGGTTAAGTAATTTGCTGATGGTCATAATGATAATCTTTTAAATTATAAATCCATTGTTATTTTACCACATAATTTCTCTTCTATGACTTATGTACAATGAGAAGAATCATTAAAGAAAGTAGGGTAAGATTCTTACAGGTTTGGGTATATGCAATCTTAAACAAATGTGACTCTTCAAAAGTATTTTCTTCAGTTAACATTCTTAATAAATGTTGCCATAACATTTTTTTAGCTTATTAACATGAAAACAGAGTGACTGGGAGAACTAAACTATATAGATTATATTAGCTATATAAAAATATATTACATATATACATTTATTATTCACTTGGGAAAATACTTCCAGAAATAAATATTTTAATTTTGTAAGAACAAATAGCATTTTAAAACCATAACACATAAATGATTTATTTATCTGTGTACCACATTTTCCATCAGTTTTCAAAACATCTGGGACAGCATCCTAAAGTAAACAATGTTCATAAGACCATCTGGACAAAACTGCAGGCAAAAAAAAAAAAGCATAAACATATGGAAAAACAGATTTTACTCTTCCCTTCAGCAGTAAGGGATAACAAATGTCTAGCCTACACATATCCACGCTTCACTGTGCGATGCTTTTCAGCACCACCTGGCTCTCCAAGCAGAGCCACCAAATATGGACAGCTCTGCCAGAAAGAACATATCCATAGGCAAGAGCAATAAAAATAGTTTATTTCATGGTTAAATTGCCACTTCACACAAGTGGCAAGGATCTATTTGTTGACTTTTACATGTAAGTCTGTGAGAACAGATTCAAAATTAATTATGCTATTGGACTTGAATATTAAATAGTTTAGATAATTTAACAAGAAAATAAAATGACATTTTCTAAGAACTATTTGTTTAATTAAAGTGCAAGTTTTTCATTTTACTGAATAGCACATTTATAAAATGTGACAGTTCAAATTCAATCAATTTATCAAATGTCCATTAAACCACTACCTATATATATACTCAACTGCATATGATTTATGACTATGGAATAAGGAATTGATACACAGTGAACAGCACCGAGATATTGAGCCTTAAATTCATGATAATGTCTTACTAAAACTTTAGAAACCAAACATACATGTACATTTACTCACTAAGAAACTGAAATCAAGTTTAAGATTCTAGATTAAAACAAGAGTGTCTCAGAATCAGTCTCTCAATCATTTGACATAAAAACAGGTACATGTTTTAATAAGAAGCAATTTATTACTTCTATTAAAGAATAATTACTGATCATTTTGTTTTTAGAGATAACAGAGCTTTCTCATTCTGGCAGTGATTTTAGATCTTACTCACTTTAAGAGCCAAATGCACCAGGGACTACACTTCCGAATGTTTTGAAGTACAGTGTAATTAAAAGCTGCTACAGCAATAACAAAGCTGCTACAGCAATAACAAAAAAGACAAATTATACAAAATTCTGATTATCATTTGTCTTGTCCTCAAGTTTTACCTGAACCCATGAAATGCCTATAATTAGAAAGAATTTCAGTGTTGAAAGATTATTTTATTAAAAGGGATTTACTGTCTTACCTTTATATTACCAACACTGTCATCAGTTATTGCACTCATGTGATCAAGTAACATAGACACCAGAAGGTAAACAATATTAAGAAAAAATTCAGGCATTCTAGATAAAGTGCTTAAAGCTCTTTTATATCTCTGTAGTTTACCTTTAATCCTATAATCTGAGTACTCAAAGAGCTGCTGACTAACCTGATAAGATTTTGTGCATACTCAGGTCTTGCAAGACAGAAAATTGGTTGAAGCACCGGGCAAACACACACACACACACACACACACACACACAAAATTGATGGGTGTGGCAAAAATGGCATTAAGAACTCCATTATTACCCCCAAACCCCTAAAAACTATAAACAAAGTTAAATATAAAAAAGTGAGTATTCCTGTCAACTATAACCTTTGTATAATCTTTCTGGAGGGTAGTTTAACGCCAGTAATTAAAATTTAAGATATGCTTATAAATTGGCCAAAAGTCCCCCCAAAATTTAACCTATAGAAATAAAAGAGCAAGTACACAGCGATGCATCTTTTCTTATCATGGGAGGAAATTGAGAACAACCAATAGTGGATGTGTTGCCAAGTAATATCAAATGTCTACTTTCTCAAAGGTATAAATATTTGTAAATTACTTTTGTTAAACCAGAAGGGGAACAATGGTGCATCCCGAGTTTCCCATAGGTATAGGGAAGGTAAACGTATTTGGTAGTTTGCTTATTCAAAGAAAGAGATTGAGAGCGTTATCTCCTCTGATAATTGTCTCCATTGCAGAGAGATGATGAAATCAACTAGTTAGTAACAGTACATTCAAAACTTGGCAGTCTGGCT